ACTGGCTATCACAACGGCTCTGGCTATTGCAAAGATAATTGCCCAGAAGTAGATAATAAGAAGGATAATTTGTACAGTTAAGCACTTTTAATTCCCGTTATTTAAGTGCAGTCATAAAACGTGTGTTCAGATATCTCTAGCTGAAACCAATGGAAATTTAAAAGGCTTCATTTCTCAGTATCACACCCTAAATATTGTTTTGGGGCCAACCTAGCTGTTCAAAAGCATGCCAGTGCAAGTAGATAAATAGGTACCACTGCGGCGGGAAAGTAAATTGCATTTCCATGCACTCTGGTTTCTGTCATAGTGTCCCGTTGCACCAGAAGCGGATTAGTCATGCTGGCCACATGACCCGGAAAGCTGTCTGTGGACAAACGCCGGTGTGACTGGCCCAAGGTCACCCAGCAGCTGCATGTGGAGGAGGGGAGACGCAAACCCGGTTCCACAGATTGCGAGACTACCGCTCTTAGCCACTACACCACACTGGCTCTCACCACACTGGACCTGGAAACCACAGAGGCCCTAGAATCTTTTGCTGAGCTGCTGCAACCTACCTGGCCACTGATCTTTTATGTGTGGTAAGGAATCCACAGGCAGCGAGGACTGAACCCTCAACATGAAACTGTTCCTTTCCTCCCTTAGGACTTACGCAGGGAATATATTCCAGCCTGTTCACCCCTAGTCCTCTCTCTGGCCCCTGGTAACAGGGACAAGCTTCTGCTCTGTGACACCAGGGTCATGTCAGAATTGAAGCTGCTCAACAGCAAAGGGCTCCAGGTTATGTTTAAGGTGGGATGCTGGTGGTGTTGTGGTCTAAATCACTGAGCCTCTTGGGCTCACCAATCGGAAGTCGGCGGTTCGAATCCCTGCGACGGGGTGAGCTCCCGTTGCTTGGTCCCAGCTCCTGCCAACCTAGCAGTTTGAAAGCACACCAGTGCAAGTAGATAAATAGATACCGCTGTGGCAGGAAGGTAAATGGTGTTTCCATGCGCTCTGGTTTTCGTACGGTGTTCCATTGCACCAGAAGCGGTTTAGTCATGCTGACCACATGACCTGGAAAGCTGTCTGTGGACAAACGCTGGCTCCCTCGGCCTGAAAGCGAGATGAGCACCACAACCCCATAGTTACTGGACTGGACTGAACCGTCCAGGGGTCCTTTACCTTTTTTACCTTTATGTTTAAGGTAGCCCAGAAGGCATATATTCTCCTTATCTTTTTCCTCACTTTCCCCTCCTTGCACAGTCATGTGAGGCACACACACACACCCGCACACACATACATTCACCCTTCTCCTTGCCCTTTTCCTATATAACTATCTTTTTTAAAATAAGTGATGAAGTCAAATGGTATAGAAGTATACAGCTTGCATTTTGGGATTAATGTTCTCCAACTATACACATCTTTTTCCAAGCATTTTCCCCTAATATGATGCATTTTTGTACTCCCTCTCCACATTTTCCACAAATATGTCCCCCGAATCCACTGTTTCCACCAATGCATATATTGTGCATTTACATTTTTGTATTAACATTTCCCAAATTTGCAAAATTTGGGGCACTTCCTTCTTTTCATTTTTTACTTGAGCACTGAGTTGCAAAATTCAAAGAATTATAAATTTTGAAAGGCGGCTACATTTTTCACTTTGCTTATTTGTTTGGGAGCTGCAAATTACGTAGGTTAGAATTAAAATGCAAATTTCTTCCCCATGTCACTCTAATATTTTCTTCTGTGGCATTAGATGCCAATCCACAAAATTCAGAAATATTTACCTAAAACAAACAAACAAACAAATTTTATAAAAAACGCTACACAAAATAACGTATTACCAGGAATCGATAGGAACCCATAGGAATAATGGGTTTGCGAGCACAAGCCCTGCTGCTTAGAGATACATTGAAAGGCTGAGGACACAACTGATTTTTGTGGCTCATTGACTCCTAATTAACTCAAACTCCTATAGATCCAGGCGAAATTAGAAAGCTCGTTCTCTTGCTAAATGCTATAAATCGGAGGCATGTCTACAATTCTTCTTTCTTTCACTTTAAAGTTTGTCCTAATAGGTCTGACACCCTAGTTCAAGGATCTTTGAGCACAGCTAGATGTTAAAAGGGCTGAAACCATCTCATAAAATAATAATGGCTACATCCCTTATTAAAATCTTATTATCTTCTTATTTTTATTTATTTATTAGATTTATATACCACCCTTCATTGGAATTATTGAATTGATCCACTGGACTTATTCGATGATGCAATATGTTACTATCCATCTTCTTGGTTATCAAGATTGGCTTTGGTTTCGGTTAAGAATTTTTTTAAAAAAATCCCCTAGGGGTTTTCACACATTGCATTTGACAAGGGAGCTATGCTCTCTCTCTCTCTCTCTCTCTCTCTCTCTCTCTCTCTCTCTGCTAACATTTTATTAATTTTCAAAACAACAACAACAGTACAAAATCAAATCAAAGCAAAACAAATGGACTTTCTCCTAGTCGCTTCCTTGGTTCCATTGTTTATCAACATACCACATAGGTAAAGGTAAAGGGACCCCTGACCATTAGGTCCAGTCGTGACCGACTCTGGGGTTGCGGCACTCATCTCGCTTTATTGGTCGAGGGAGCAGGCGCACAGCTTCCGGGTCATGTGGCCAGCATGACTAAGCCGCTTCTGGCAAACCAGAGCAGCGCACGGAAATGCCGTTTACCTTACCACCGGAGTGGTACCTATTTATCTACTTGCACTTTGACGTGCTTTCGAACTGCTAGGTTGGGAGGAGCTGGGACCGAGCAACGGGAGCTCATCCCATGGTGGGGATTCGAACCGCCGACCTTCTGATCGGCAAGTCCTAGGCTCTGTGGTTTAACCCACAGTGCCACCTGCGTCCCTTAACATACCACATATCCATTATTAAATTTGAACATCATTTAAATTACCTATTATCCTACACACTCATAAATATTCACATATAAAGTTCAGTTGGTGTGCAGAGGGAAGAATTCAACATTGCACTATTATGATCATTCAGTGCTTGCCAGACAGAAAAACCTCCCCTTTCCTTTCCTTGTGTGCTGTTTCGGGAAACTTTCACACCTCCCCTGAGCTGATTTTGGGGAGAAGAGAGCAAGGGAAAGCCCTGTAGCACTAGTGGGATGCGGTGTGCTGACTCGCACTAGCTCAACTGTTTAGTTGAATCTGGCCCATTCTGTGGGTGGTACTCAACTAAGTCTTACTCAGGATAGACCAACTTAACTGAAGGAACATGACTAAGTTTGATCCATTCATTTCTGTGGGTGTGCTTGGTTGAATATCACCTTCTATACACAGCAGATGAACTGTACAAATTACTAAGTATATGCTCTTTCAGACAAACATGCGTAGAGATGGGTCATACCAATGTAATGTGTGAACAAGCCTAGTGTCATTAACTTGAGCATTAACTTTGGGATATTATTTGCTTTCTGTTCACATACATTTTTTAAAATATATGCATGTATTTTTTTTTTAAAAAATAATTTTTATTAAAGCTTTTCATGAATTACACAAGAATGTGCAATGTCTCTCTCTTTTTTCATTGTTCAGATTATAAAGTATTTTGGGTACATTCAATTTAAGACAATATGGTATCCAGAGGTGGGGAGGGAGTAGAGGAGAGAGGGTGAGCGATAAACTATTTTTTTCATTTTTCCAACTTGGTATATGTGTGAGGTTTTTATGTCAGTGCCATTGGGGTAGGTTCTCTTTCTTCTTCTTCTTCTTTGGCGATCACTCGTGGCTGAGTAAGATTGTCTTCTATAAACACGGTCTTAACAGTGAGTCTGTAAGTGAATATGGAGGCCAATTCTGAATCCACACGTCCTTCCACAGTGGGGACATTGGTTTCTGGACAGGAGTTGCTCACGGTGTGGATTTGCCTTCCTCTTAGCACGTTTCTCCCTTGTGTCCTGAGTTTGAGTGTTTTCAAAGCCCATGACACCTTTGGTAAAGGTTGTTCTCCAACTGGAGTGCTCGCAGGCTAGTGTTTCCCAATTGTTGGTGTTATACTACATTTTTAAAGATTTGCCTCGAGAGTCTATAAACCTCTTTTGTTGACCACCAGCAGTACGCTTTCCATTTTTAACTTCAGAGTAGAGTAGTTGCTTTGGAAGACGATAATCAGGCATCCGCACAACATGATCAGTCCAACAAAGTTGATGTTGAAGAATCATTGCATCAACACTGGTGATCTTTGCTTCTTCCAGTACACTGGTATTAGTTCGCCTGTCTTCTCAAGTGATGTGTAAAAATTTTCGGAGACACCGTTGATGGAATCTTTCGAGGAGTTGGTTTACATGGGAGGCGGGAGAAGGTTGAGGAGGTCGTTACTTGCTCAAGTGATATAATTTCAACCATAGATTATAATGATCATGTTATTGTATTTAGACTGAAATTTGTTTGTTTTCTGAGGGTGTTTTTTCACAAACCTTTCTGAGTGCAAATCTACAGAAAGTGTGGCATAGAAATAAAATGTCTATGACTGTGCTTTTTCTCCTTCAAGAAACCCTCTGCCTTCTCGCCATCCCCATTATAAAACATTACACAGTACATTTTAAAAAGCAGCTCTGCAACTACGGTTCTGAAGGTTTGTGTATATCGTGCCTAAATATTGCATGATCTCATTTACCTTTCTTAGGAGGGCCTCGACATACCCATTCATCTCCGAATATTTTGGCAACTATACTGCCTGCGTACAACAAAGTGAGTAAATAAAAGTGAATTCACTCTGGGTTTAAAGCCACTGCTTTAATGATTTTCAATGGGCTTTGTTGTGCTCGAGGAGTCTGCAAACTATATCATCTTTTCTGCTCAGGTATCTATTTATGTTACCTTCCAAAGTCACCGCTGAATCAAAAGGATTAATGTTTTCAGGTTTTAATGGTCTCCGGTTTAGCTGAAGTCAATAAATCTGTCTCTAGGGCTAACAAAGTGCTTCTATGCAAACTATTTCAGGATGAACAATGGCTATAGCTAGTGTATGCTTCTCCGAAATGTAAGGTTCATGTGGGGATTAGGAAACGCAATGAGTTTCTGGGGATTTAAAATAGTTGGGTTTGGATGAGTAGAGGCGAAGCCTTGTTCCCGGAAGGAAGAGTTCTGAAGGGAGCCATGTTCTGAAGGGGGAGCAACACAAATGACGACCAAGTATTTGAAATGCCAAACCCTGCAAAAACATGACAAAACACACTCATAACAGAGAGTAGTCTGACTGGTACATATGCATTTTGTATACTTCCAATTCTTTGTAAAATGATAGGGTTAACAACAACATCAACAACAACAACAACAACAATAATAATAATAATAAATTATTTATACCCCTCCCTTCCCAGTTCAGAAAACCGGGCTCAGGGCGGCTAACAACAAATTTAAAACACTTAATTGATGCAATGAAAAACAGCATAAAATACCGTATAAAACATGAATAACAATAATTTCAGAATTAAAAAATCAATTTAGGGGGGAAATCCATCCAATAAACATTAGGTGATCACCAGTGCTAGCTGGCTAAATTAGTCCTATTTGGACCAGCGAGGAGACCAGGGGAGAATTAGCTTGGGATCCCAGAGTGAGTAATCTTCATAAAAAGGGGAGGGGGAGGGAAGGAAAGAGAATAAAAGATCAGGCTAAGTTCAGATTGAAAGCCAGGCAGAATAGCTCTGTCTTACAGGCCCTGCGGAAGGAAGTTAAAACCTGCAGGGCCCTGGTCTCATGGGACAGAGCATTCCACCAGGTCGGAGCCATCACTGAGAAGGCCCTGGCCCTGCTGGAGGATAATCTGACTTCCTTCCAAAGCCAAATGACTTCAAGGCATAGCTGTCAAATTTTCCCTTTTCTTGCGAGGAATCCTATTCAGAATAAGGGAATTTCCCTTAAAAAAAGGAAAACGTTGACAGCTATGCTGCAAGGTGGGGGAAAGTTTGAAGTATTCTAGTACACACACACAGAGAGAGAGAGAGGGAGAGAGAGAGAGAATATATAATAGAGATAAGAACATAAGAATAGCCTGCAGGATCAGGCCAAAGACCCATCTAGTCCAGTATCCTGTTCTTACAGTGGCCAACCAGGTGTCTGAGGAAAACCAGCAAGCAATACAGGAGCCCCAGAGCACTCTTCTCTTCTGTGGTTTCCACAAACTGGTATTTGGAAGATAAGGGAGGCGGCTCAAGTTAGTTTTGCACTTCCTGAACCCCATTCTCATATGTTGGTTCTCCTCCCCAACCAAGATCAAAGCACGACAGGACCTACAACCATTCATGGGACCATGTTGATCTGTTGCCAGGGCAAGGCCTGCTTACCTGGTCTTGCCAACCTGCGAGAGCTGGAACTAAATCTCCCAGCCAACACGTGCAAGCTGAGGCAGCCAAGGAGCTGGATGTGCAGAAACAGGTTGATCCATACTTATCATTTAAAAGCTCAGGCACGCATATAAAAATGGATAGCAGTGTGCAGATACTGGCAAGCTTCCGTTGCTTTCAATGGAATGGGTATCAAGGATGGTCTTCCCCAATTTTTAATCCATATGTGCATTTCACAGTGTGAGTAGATGGCATCAACACAATACAGTGGGAATAGATAGCATCAACACCTGCAAAAACAGTTTTTTATACCATGGTTCCTTCTTATCCATTAAGTAGCTAGAGTGATGAAGGCTACTTCTCCTTAGTTTGGGGATACCTTTCTTCCTGCTTTGCGAGAATGGTTCATTTGAATAACATGTTTGGAATCTAAAACCTCATTTTTCATGTTTGAAATATCTGTTCTCCAAAATTCAATAGAGCTCTAGTTTTAGGCTGCAATCTTAACCTACTTGTCTAGGAGTAAGCCCCGATGAGAAAGGCGATGGCAAACCTAGACAGCATCTTAAAAAGCAGAGACATCAACTTGCCAACAAAGGTCCATATAGTTAAAGCTATGGTTTTCCCAGTAGTGATGTATGGAAGTGAGAGCTGGACCATAAAGAAGGCTGATCACCGAAGAATTGATGCTTTTGAATTATGGTGCTGGAGGAGACTCATGAGAGTCCCATGGACTGCAAGAAGATCAAACCTATCCATTCTGAAGGAAATCAGCCCTGAGTGCTCACTGGAAGGACAGATCCTGAAGCTGAGGCTCCAATACTTTGGCCACCTCATGAGAAGAGAAGACTCCCTGGAAAAGGCCCTGATGTTGGGAAAGAAAGAGGGCACAAGGAGAAGGGGACGACAGAGGACGAGATGGTTGGGCAGTGTTCTCGAAGCTACCAACATGAGTCTGGCCAAACTGCGGTAGGCAGTGGAAGATAGGAGTGCCTGGCGTGCTCTGGTCCATGGGGTCACGAAGAGTCGGACACGACTAAACGACTAAACAACAACAACAACAACAAAGCCCCAATGAACACTGGGATTTACTTCCAGGTAAACACATATAGGAGTTTACCATAGATGCTTCAGATTTAATAGCCCTGCACAACGATTGTATTTATTACTAGTGTGAAAGAAAGGAGAAAGCAAAAACTAAATGAATAAATGAAAAAGTAAAGTTTGAAGTTTTTCATAGTGGAAAGTGTCAATATATAAGCAGATCTGGTAATATTTTCCCCCACTCAAGGGGCTCTTTTCCTCTTTGGATTTAAACCAACTGTGTGAGGGGTTTTTTTCTAAGGGATACACAAAGAAATAAACCCTAACAACAACAACAACAATCTACACTTTACCCAGGAGTTCAGGTACAAAATTGCACAGAGCAGGTTTATTAAAAGTCACAAAGTATGCTGCGACTTTTAATAAACCTGTTCTGTGCAATTTTGTTCTTTATAAGGAACACAATATGGATTTCATTTCAGCGAGTTGATGCATGTTATATACTAACCAAATCCAGATGAAATGATGAAAGGATTATTTACTCATTATATCAAAAAATGTAATAGGAAGATAATGTAACTGCAGAGACATATATAATTTTTTCTAATATCTAAAAAGGATTATTTAAGGTGGAAGGTTATTATTGGGTATCTTTGATCCTGTGCTTATTTTATTAGGAATCTGATTATATTAGGAGAGCACAGAGATTTCGACAAATATTTGGGTAGGTCTGTGCTATTCCCTCCTCCCTTTGATTGGAAGCATAAATGACAAGGACAAATCGAAGGAACAGTCTACAATGGAGTGACTCAAACGATGGGCTGCCAATGTCATAACCACTCTGGAGACATTTCCATCTTGATTCCTCTTGCATCCTGGAGGCAAAGCTTGTTTACATGATCATGTTAACTGAGATGGTAATCTCAGAGCACCTTTCTGAGTTATTTGAACAAATTCCGGAAACCAAGAGATGTGCTGTAGATTACTAAGCATATTTACATAGAAATTAGTCCCACTGAGCTCAATTGGATGCGACCTCTCCTCAGTGTGCCTAGGAATGGAGACCATAAAGTCTTGTAAAACCCAATAGTTGGGAGCCAAAGAGATGGTTAGATATAGGGATGGGGGGGTAATCAATTCAATTTGCATTTAAAGGCCAACCTACCTCATTTGCTCTTTCCAAAACAACATGAGACTGAAGCAGAGCTATCTCTTGAAATTTGCACTGCTCCGAATTTTGCAGTGCCATTCCCCACCCAAGTACTGTGTACAAAAATGCATATACTGAGGCAAAGTATGCATGGAACGTATATACTGGTGCAAATATACAAAACACATCACCTGACCAATGAGGAATTTGTCAGCAAATGGCAGAAAACCATGGCTGAAAAAGCCACCTCTATTGGTCTGGCACCCCCCCCAACTGTATTACCTGGGTTATGAAGGCGCCCTAAAGACGTTAAAGCAAAGATTATGGGATAATGCACACAGTGACTTGCGATCTCGATCACACGCAGTCTGTAGTCCGCTGGCAGTAGAAGTACAATATGGGCATGTCTTTAAGTTAACATGTTACATTAAAAACCTGACAGTACCAAACTATCGAAGGCTTTTCACCAAAGCCAGACTAAACGTCTTTCTTTCTACAGTGTTGGATGGCAGGTTGAGAAGAGTTCCCTACCAGGACAGACTTTGCTCATGTGCTCAAGACATCGATTCCATAAAACATATTTTGTTGCACTGTGCAAAATATGAGCAAGCGAGGGCTGAACTGATATTACCCTTGCTGGTACATTTCCTGGGAAAATCAGAGGCTCACTATGTCAGGTTCCTATTGGAAGACCGGACAAATGCTAGAACATTAGCAGTGGCCAAGTTTTTATCTGTGGTTGTAAGAACCAATGATCCCTATATTCTGAACGAAATGCTTGTTTAACCTGGAGGTAGGCTGTATGAATTGTGTATTGCTTTGTAATGATTTGTTGGGTCTCTGGACCGTAATAAAGGTTGATGATGAAAACATATCATATTAGGCAAAATTGCATGCTAACTTCTGCATATTGGGATAAATTTAGTGTAAAATGTGGATGAATCTTCATAAACACTTTTTTAAAAACAACAACAACCCCAAGCTGATGTGAAAATGTGGAGAAGTATACTTAAGATTGGAAAAATGTGAAACTGAGAGGAACCAAAACTGACAGATTTGCTCATTTTTTCTTTGGCTCGTGCTATCCTAGTAGAATTGTTGACCTTTCCCCCCTTGAACAGTTGGACCCTCATCAGTTTGACATGTGGCATTGCGGATGGGAGGGTTGCTGTTAAAATTACAAAACCTCTTGTGCTTTGGATCCTGGCCACAAGATCTAAGTGTGAGAGTTCTCTCTTATGCCTGTGATCCAAAAGCCTGCAATCCAAAACCATTGCTTTGATCCAGTAGCTCTTAAATTTTCTGCTACAGGAGAATGGAAAGTGCTGATTGTGATGAAGACAGGTTTGAATAGAAATTGATGTCTCTGTGCATTCGTAGTTCCATGTGCCATATTTGGGCAACTGATCAAGCTCAGAGCTTCAGAACAGCTGTGAGGCTCCTCCCAGTTGAAACACCCTGAAAGTGTGCAGAGGAGTCTCAGAGCAACTAATGTTATCTCCAGCTAGCTCTGAGCTGGGGAAAAAAAAACTGGCTTCAAAAGGAGACACTGTCCCCCAAGCTGGCAAATTCTCAGGGACTGTACTGAGGAAGCCACCTGGCTTGCTCACTCATTTAGCACCTTGAACAATTCCACCTGTTCCTGGATGCAACAAAACGTGGCAATCCTTTCTAATTTAATTGACAGCCGAATGTCTCGTCTCGACTTCAGGCCAGCTGACCAAGTGACTGCTGGACAAGTCGCCTTTTCTGGAGAAAGGCAAACCTTCTTTCTACCAATTTCTTTCTTAAACAGAAGGCATATGATTCTGAGATGTTTGAATTCCTGCATTAAAGATCTTATAACTGTTTAAAGAAGCACTTCCACTGTCACTTTCTTTTCAAAGAGCTCTATAAGGTCACTGAAATGTGGGTATATATACCATCTTTAAAAGTTTAATTAAAATGCTGTGACATGGGAGGAACCTTTAATTCATTTGATCTTTATCTGTCAGGATTAAAGATAGTAATGTAATGAAATTGTATCAATAGAACCAGTCTAGCTACTTATGCCAACGGAGGAATCATGGTCAGATATTTTAGAGCAGTTAATTGCTCCCCCCGCCTTTTGTTTTCAAAGCTGGTGGTAACCATTTATTTGAGATACAAGACAATAGCTATTGGTGACTTAAAGAGGCTTCTTATTATTTCCCAGAAATGCAGGAAGGAGTGATATAAATACTACTGATTGATTCTGGAAAAGATGGTTACCCCCCTCTCTTCTTGTGAATAAAGGAATTTTAGAGCCTAAATATCTCAGAGGCTTTGTGGGGACTGATAAAATACTTTTGAAAAGGCCAACAACTCTCTTAGGGCCATACTCCATGATATGCTTACCATCTTGGGTTTGCCATTGAATGCACGTTTTTTATTGCAAATAGTAATCTAGATCAAAAACTTGGTGGAAGAAACGGGGCTTTAGCTCTGTAATGCTCTCCTGCTTTCAGCCCATTCTGGATCAGGGTGCCCACACCTCAGTTTTGCATGGGGAGAAAGGTCCCATTGGAGTAAAGAAGAGAGGGGAAAGATGCCTTAACCAGGAAAGAAAATGCCCCCAAAAGCTTTCTGTACCTAAGAGAACTGAGAAAAAGATGACTATTTCTGCATTAAACATTTTGTCAGAGATCGTGCTGAGGAGGGCTGCACTGAGGGAGGAAGAATGGTGGGAACCACCCCCCTCCCCCTGATCCTGAATCTTCCCAGGAGCAGGAGGACAGTATAGATTTGGAACAGTGGTTTGCAGAGGGGCATAGTTCAGAAGGCAGAAACTGGGAAATACTGGATGGGGAACAGCTAGGAGAAGAAACACTGGAAGAGAGAGGGTTAACAGATTCACAGTCTCTGGATGGTATCCGCCTCCCTTCCCCAAAATCACGGAGAGCTCAGAAAGTGTCAGAACAAAAAACTCAGATGTTACAAGCTCAGATTACAAGACGTAGACGTGACATAAAGTAATAGGGACGGAGCGGGTAGTGAACTTCATTGGGAGCACCGCCATTCCTAGGGTTCTTTGTTCTCTTGCTGTGATTATTAAAGTTTCTAACTGGTAAGAAGACTCCTTTTCCTTTGTTCTGTTTATCTACTGCCACGGGGGGAGGAAGCCAATTCCCTGAAGCCTGACACATTTTTTAAGAAACATAGCCCTCCTCAGATATTTAATGTATGTTCAAAAATTTAAATGGAAGCCTATTTGGCAGAGACCAATATAACACGACTAGGAATCAGTCTACACAAGTGACCCATGTTTAGACTCACCTTCATGAGATCCAAAAATAGGGTAATGTCCCTGTATACGAACCCACATGCATCCATACAAATATAATCCTGAAAAAGCGGACTTCCTCTTGTTCTTTTATTTCAAGACTTGGCTTATCAATAAACAAATAAAGCTAATGCTTCTTATGGGAAAGTTATTTTTGGCATTTTAACTCTCCTGGAATACTATGAATTAAAATACTAGGATAAGCGTCAGATATCTTCCAAAGGCTATGCTGGGTGGGTACGAATGCAAAGCAATATAGCAACATTGGAGTCACAACCTGTTGACAAATCCCATTTAGCAATGTAAATTCAAATAAATAAAAAAGATAAGCATTTAGAAATTAGTGGGTATCACTGCAGAAGATAGGTGAGTTTATTAAAGCTTGATCACTGAACCAATTAATTAAGAATAAGTTGCCTGGGTTTCTTTATGACAGTTTGTTCATCCTAAAGCATCATCTCTTACTGAAGTTTTTTCCACCTAATCTGACCCTTCAATATTCCCAAATATGTATAGCAAAAGTCTGTTCTGAATTAGTGTGCACTAATCTTCAGCTCCTCCAATATTGAATGCAAGGATGCATGATGATAAACACCTTTTCAAAAATAAATCTAGGTGCAGCACGGGAGAGCAGCTTGGCACCATTGCTATGTATTTACCTCAAGATAATCATTGTTTTAGGGACGTGGGTGGTGCTGTGGATTAAACCACAGAGCCTAGGACTTGCCGATCAGAAGGTCAGTGGTTTGAATCCCCACAACGGGGTGAGCTCCCGTTGCTCAGTCCCTGCTCCTGCCCACCTAGCAGTTCGAAAGCACATCAAAGTGCAAGTAGATAAATAGGTACCGCTCCAGCGGGAAGGTAAACGGTGTTTCCGTGCACTGCTCTGATTCGCCAGAAGCGGCTTAGTCATGCTGGCCACATGACCTGGAAGCTGTACGCTGGCTCCCTTGGCCAATAAAGCGAGATGAGCGCCGCAACCCCAGAGTCGGTCATGACTAGACTTAATGGTCAGGGGTCCCTTTACCTTTACATAATCATTGTTTTATATTTCTTGTGACATTTATTAGTGGTATACTCATGGCATCAGATAACAGAATGGGCTAAATCCCTGACTACTGAAACTAAGGAGAAGCATGTTTTCTGCATCCTACCAAAGCTAAAATGCTGGACTTTGTTAGAATCTAGAATCTAGAACAGTGTTTCCCAAGCTCCAGCTGTTTTTGGACTACAGTTCCCATCATCCCTAACCTCTGATCCCGTTAACTAGGGATGATGGGAGTTGCAGTCCAAAAACAGCTGGAGACCCAAGTTTTGGAGACAATTCTATGAAAAGAAAGATGGCAGCTTCTTTTACAGTGGTGCATCGCAAGACGGAAAACTCGCAAAACGAAAGGGTTTTTGGTTTTTTGAGTTGCTTCGCAAGACGATTTTCCCTATGGGCTTGCTTCGCAAGACGGAAACGTCTTGCAAGTTTGTTTCCTTTTTCTTAAAACCGTTAATACAGTTGCGACTTGACTTCGAGGAGCAACTCATAGCACATGGTGTGGTAGCCTTTTTTGAGGACGCTGGTGATTTTTGAAGCTTTTCCAAAGCTTTTCCGACACCGTGCTTCACAAGACGAAAAAAACCGCAAGACGAAAAAACTCGTGGAACGAATTAATTTCGTCTTGTGAGGCACCACTGTAATTGCTGTTTGGCATTCATAGAATTACAGAGCTGAAAGGACCCCGAGGATCATCTAGTCTAACTCCCGACATAAGAAGTTGCTCATGGTAAAATATATTGAGCTTTGTTATATTAGTTCTTCATTTTTTAAAATGTCTGTTAACAGATCTATTACACGCAATTGTTTTTGACAAGTGAAATTAATTATGCTGGCTCTGTTTTCATTGACACAGAAGCCATGAGTACAATGAATAATTCAGATTTGCACTTAATCTATTTTTGTCATGTTCTCAACTCTTTTGTCAGAGTTTCTGAAGTATCCATTTTGAATTGCAGTGAAAAACAAAGGCAAGTATATGGATAAAACAATCTGATCAGCAGGAGACAGAAGTCAGCTAATTTAACAGGTGCCATTCTGGCTTACGGGATCAGAGACTAATATGCAAATGGGTACAACATAATCAAAAGCAGTGAGTCTGAGAAATTATGTTAATTATAATGTGTATTTTTAGTACTGGATGCCAAGAAGCTTGCAAATAAATGGAAACAGAATTTCTTCAAGAACAAGCTACGGCGTTACCCACAATTCTCTGGATCCACAGACTTGACAGCATTCAACTGCCATCCTTAGCAGTAGACTCTTAAAATATTATCGGTTTTCTGATAAAAGCACCAAAAACATAATTATGCCTTGCACAAATTATATGGTAGAGACAGCAGAAAATGTCAAATCGAGACTGTAGCCCTTGTTCTGATTAAGACACATTTATTGCTTATTACTATTATGCATCTTCAATCTCTGAGAAACTAGAAGTTTCAAACATTTAAATCATATGATTTAAATAATTTAGTTAGGTTTCTAATTTCTGTACCTATTCAACAGAGAATCACCCAGACTTCAGTCAGGGTGCCTATGAACAGTGGGGAAATGAAATAACAGTCTTTGGGTAATAGGATATTATATCCCGCTTTCTAAGCAGAGCAGCTAGAGGCAGCTGGCAGGAGTTTTCTTCAAAAAAGAAAAAAATCTTCATATGTGATTCTTTATGTTTATTTAATATTGCAAAAATAAAAAGCCCAGCAGCCATCGGCCTTAATACTACAACGTGTTTATGGTTACATGGCGGCTATTGGAAGACGTAGCTCACTAGCTTTTGGTTATGGCTTTTACATACAGCTATTGTCTTTTTATTCCATGGCTGGATTTTTTACTGTGCAATAATAAAAAGTAAGCGAGTCCTTTTTATCCAACCCAGGATATGAGATCAACGGTACCAGTCCTAAAAGCTGCCACGCTCAGAGCTAAGCTAGTAAGAACCAATTTACAGTGGTACCTTGGTTCTCAAATGCCTTGGCACTCAAACAACTTGAAACCCAAACACTGCAAACCCGGAAGTAAGTGTTCCGGTTTGCGAACTTTTTTCGGAAGCCGAACGTGCTCCATTTTGAGTGATATGCTTCTGATTTGAGTGCCACACTTCCGTTTTGAGTGCCACACTTTCATTTTGAGTATTACGCTGTGGTTTGTCTGTTTTTGCTATTTATTTTGCGTTTTTTGTTTTTGCGGCTCTTTTTTTTGTGGCTGTGGGGAACCCAGTTCAGCTACCGATTGATTGATTGATTGATTGATTGATTGTGTGACTGCAGTACATTGTTTATTGCTTTCATTTTATGGATCAACGGTCTCGTTAGATAGTAAAATTCATGTTAAATTGCTGTTTTAGGGTTGTTTTTAAATGTCTGGAACGGATTAATCCATTTTGTATTACTTTCCATGGGAAAGCGTGCCTTGGTTTTGGAATGCTTTGGTTTTGGAAAGGACTTCCGGAACGGATTAAGTTTGTGAACCAACGTACCACTATACTAGATTGGCATATGGGTAGGTTAAAGCAAGGACCAAACTACACATTCAGAAAAACCTGAACTACACATTCAGAACTTACAGGGTTAAACAGTTCTGTGTAACTTCTCACATTCTGAGGCGTGGTTTTGTTCACATACGGGAATCTTTCAGACAGCGCCATGCCTCCGTTCATGACTGAGTGGTGATTCGAACCCTGGTCTCTCAGATGGTAACACAACACTTTATAACTACTACACCACACTAGTTGTCTACATATTGTATACAATGAGATTTACTTCCAAGCAAAAACATAGAAGGCACTGCTGCAACTTTTCTAAAGAGATCTGTAACCACACATAAGAATGTATTTCTGAAGGGCAGGGGGGAAATTGCATGAAGAAGTTTATAGATTAGCATAGCACAATAATAAGAGAAAAAGTAATATTTTCATAAGCATTTAATTAAAGACCCCCTTGAGGGAGTGGAGGAGTGTAATTATAATGCAGATACAAAGCTTAATTGCCAGGTTAAACTTAAACAGGGAAAAACATTCCCTTAGGATGTGAGTCTCTCTTTTTTGTGCTTTTTCAATTGGTTAAAATTCTAGCTACCGCCTGGGTCGTTTCAGACTCCATCCTAGGTCAAATTGACATTGGGCCTTCCAGCTCTAATCTGTTTACGTAACACAGGGGTGAGTCTGAGGTTGAAGCAAGAGGAAAGAGACAGAACAAACCCTTACGGAATCTTTTTGACTCACCTTCCGTTCTGCGATAGTGATAGTGTAAACAACTGCAGGACTCTTCTGTCTGGCGCCTGGACTTCAGAGTTCCATGAAGAACCAGGATGAGGAAAGGTAGGGCATAAAATAACAGAAACAGTCGTAGAGCAGGAGGCTATTAATCTCAGGGTGGGGGGTTTGAGCCCCACCTTGGGGCAAAAAGATGCCTGCATTCTCCATTACCTGAAAGTGCTTCCTATAACCAGTGGGGTTTTTTTTCTTTAAAAATGTTTAAAGGTACTCTCATTTTATGGGACGCGGGTGGTGCTGTGGGTTAAACCACAGAGCCTAGGACTTGCCAATCAGAAGGTCGGCAATTCAGATTCCTGCAACAGGGTGAGCTCCTGTTGCTCAGTCCCAGCTCCTGCCAATCTAGCAGTTCGAAAGCACATCAAAGTGCAAGTAGATAAATAGGTACTGCTCTGGCGGGAAAGTAAACGGCATTTCCGTGCGCTGCTCTGGTTCACCAGAAGTGGCTTAGTCATGCTGGCCACATGAGCTGGAAGCTGTACGCCGGCTCCCTTGGCCAATAAAGCAAGATGAGCACTGCAACCCCAGAGTCGACCACGACTGGACCTAATGGTCAGGGGCCCCTTTACCTTTTACTCTCATTTTGGCTGCTCCCCCTCCTCCTCCCAACCCTTGGACTTGAGGCGGAGGCACTGATAGGATGGGAAGGCCCCCCAGCAACGGCGGCGATGGAGTAGGCTTGAGCAAGGAGCAGCAAGCAGTCACCGGATGGCTCTAGCCTCAGACTCCCCTCTCTGGGCGCCGGTGGAGAGAATAACGGAGCTCCAGTCCACGCTGCTACTGCAGAGACAGCTGGCATGTCAGTCCGTTCGTCTGTCAGTTGGTCGGGGCAACGCAATATGTTTAGGGGTACGCGTCCCCCTGTGTCCCTCCAGAAAAAAGCACTGCCCAGAACACACCATCAACACCGGTGTTGGGTATGCCTCTTCCTATATGAAAGAAGAAATTGATACTGTGGTACCTCGGGTTAAGTATTTCATTCGTTCCGGAGGTCCGTTCTTAACAAACGTATAACGTGGCTTACATCCTTTGTAAGGATGGGCCCAAGTGCTGCTGGCTGAGAGCCAGCAGACAACAAGATGGATGAGACTTAACTGAGAGTTGAATTGAACAGAACCAAAATGGCTGTGTGACTCTGCTTTTATAGAGTCGCACTCATCTGCTCAATCACTTACAGCAGGAACAGGAAGTTCCTCTCTGTCCACTCTAGGAAGTAAAGCATGCTGTAATTGATTGTACTGTACTGATTTGGCACATCCCACACCCTGAAGGTGCACTCCTCCATTGTCTGCCGAGACAGATGGATGCCAACCAGGATGCCCTTGGCTATGTTTCCTTTATCTTCAGTCTCCTCCCTGCTGAGTTCTACAGGGGGCAATCCCGAGACTAAGGAGAAGGTTTCCGGGCAGTGCCACCATGCTGGACTGGTTGGAAGGAAGTGGAAGGCGGGTGAGAGCTAGCCGAGGGCAGACTGAAGTTGGAGGTGCAATTCTCCATTTTCCCAAAAGAGAAGCTTCCACTGGGTCCAAGAAACTACAGCACTTAAAGTAGAACTTCAACCCAAGGATAATGTCAAGGGACAGTGATTTCAGCTCCCTGTGGGAGATACACATGGCTTTGTGCAATGTACGCAATGACCCTGTGTGGTGTGTGTGTGTGTGTGAGAGGACAATTATTCAACTCCACGAAAAGTAATGGTTAAGTGCAGAGCTAGCAAACAAAAACATTCAACATTACAAGGAAGGGTGGCCCCAAGACAGACTCCTATACAGTGTTGCCTCGGGTTAAGTACTTAATTCATTCCAGAGGTCTGTTTTAACCTGAAACTGTTCTTAACCTGAAGCACCACTTTAGCTAATGGGGCCTCCCACTGCCTCTGCGCCCCTGGAGCACGATTTCTGTTCTCATCCTGCAGCAAAGTTCTTAACCTGAGGTACTATTTCTGGGTTAGCGGAGTCTGTAACCTGAAGCATCTGTAACCTGAAGCGTATGTAACCCAAGGTACATGTCTCCTTGACATTAAAAGGAGAGGTGTTCCTGACCTGCCATTCTGAACACCTCTGTTGAACAATTGGTTCAACCTTGGGAACCTTGTGAATTTATCTAAGGGGAAGTCTGATCTGGAGACTACAATGTTTTCCAGATCTCTCAACAAGATTATAGATGGTCAGAGAGGTCCAGAACACAGCTCCAGAAAAGTTACATGGATTCCTTGCACAGTGTCTCCCTTTGGATATGTTCACATCATTATGTTATTGCCCAGTGATCTTTGCGAAGAGCACTCCAGCTCTGACTGCTTCACATTCCTCCCTCCCTCCTCTTGCCATGATGAAGTAGCAGTGTTCAAAAATGCCGGCACACCCTCATTTTGCTTGTATTCTGAACAACAGAGCATAATATTATTTGCCTTTCCCTATTCATTATTGATACGATCGGCTTTATGAGAGTTAATTAAAATGTGCTGTATTGCGCCAAAAGGAAAAAAGAAAAACCCAATGTGTTGAATTAGCAAATAACAGAGAATTAGTGATAGTTTTGTGATTTAATTAACACAGCTTTATTCCAGTACTGGGCCATCTGGTACCATTTCAAAAAAGGCAGGAACCAACTTGCCTCACTTTCTGTACATCCCCCTTATATGTCATTTGCATTTTGATGAGTCTATTTCTTCTCCCCTTTCAGACAAATGCTCGCTTCACCTGGGAAAGTCTATAAAGAACTAAAGGATGTTTGAGGATGAAAATAGTGATATAAATGGCAGCGATTATTATTATTCCCTGCTCTGCTTCCTGCAGCTATTACATTTTTAAAAAAGGCTGTATGCAAAAGCACAGAGCCAAACCAAATAATGGCTTCTTCTGTTCACAAACAATAACTCCCTTTATAAACTCTTTTGTAGGGAAAGCTGGAATTTCACATCTCCTTCTGCGTATTGCTCTTGCTTTTGATCCCACCACTATCGTTCCCAAATTGTGATATATACATAAGACTGGTTCACCTATGTATGGACATCAGTTGATTATATTCAGTACTTGATTAATCAACATTTGGCAGCTGGCAGATGGACATGTGAATAGCACTGTTTTTGAGGTGAAACTGGGTAATACAAAAGTCCCATCTTCTTAACAAGAAGCCTCCCAGTGGCTGCAGTGGCCACTGATTTCTAGCAGTCCCTGCCCCATTTTCAGCCATGTGAAAAATTGTTGAATGGTGACAATTCGTCTTGGCAAGTTTAGGCCCATTCTTCGGAAGTACGTCCCACTGAATTGAATGCGGATCTCAATAATGAACCTGATCCAAAACTATGGGAATGTCACAGCCAGGTTTTCCCTCTTTATTACCATTTTATTTATTTGTGTGTTAAGATCCCAAGACCTCCCTCAATAAATAAAGACACAATTGACACAAAATTAGTTTAAGGTTATTGGCATAATTTTGGCCACAACTTTATGGATTACAAATCGTGAGTGGTTTGCTGAGACATTGGTTCCCGACTAGCTGCACCTGACCTCAGCAAGGCAGTACTGACACCTGGACTCCGGCAGACGTCAGTAAGGGAAAACATCCTGGGGGAGCATTGGACCAGGTTCAGACTCAAACTCACCCCAAATGCTCCTAGGGGCTCTGGCATGGCCCTAACAACTGGAAGGGGATCAGACAAAAGCAAGATGAGCCCCTGGATTCCTTTAATGGAATACCCTCGTATTGGAGGGGCAGGCACAGCCTATCCACATCCCCTCCACAACCATTGAACCAATGCCTAACCACCAAACCTTATAAAGTTGTGACAATTTGCTAATGGCAGGCGAAACCCAAGTGGCACCAGCCAATCAGCCAAATGGGAAAATTCCTACCGGGCCCCTGCAGACGACCCACGATGGCATAGCAAGGTCATGATGAACCCTAAATATATGGAGGGTGGGCAGGTGATCCGGTGCACGGAGCGAAAAGAGGAAGCTCTATGCAACATGCAGCGGTATATATGGGTCCCTTGGTTAATGCATGAAATGATCCCATTGGCCAGATTTATCCCAGCAACCGAGGGACCACCAATCGGGTTGTTGTGGCTATTCAATCGCTCCTACCCACAACAGCAGTGAGGTCAGTCTTGATGATCTCACCGCAACACGTGCTCTCTGGAAGGAGGACACGATTTAACAAAAGGTATGTGCCATTTAAGTGTTAAAAACAACCCAACCTCTGAGACATTTGCAAAATATAATGCATTGTTGCATGCAGACACGGGTGTCCTCTTCTGGTCTAGTGAAAGAGCCCTCAGAGCAGACGCAACACCACAGGAAATTCCACATGTACAACTTGCTTTAGCAAAGGTGAGAGATGGGCCAAAGCCACTTGATTCTCATCATCCAGTCTCCCTCTCCTAAGCTCCACCCCTTTTGCGAGACCCTCAAGGGCCATCTCTCAGGCCTGCAGATGGGTACTCCTCTGTGCTCCTTGGCCTCTGCCTGTCAGGAGTCCAGGTTCCCAGCTTGATAACACAGTAAGCGTAGATAATTAAAAAGGAGGATTTATTGCAAAAACAAACAGATAGCTCTGGACGACTCTAACAAAGCCTCCGGCATCATCACTCAAGATGACCCTTCTGAAAATTCGTTCTGGTGTCTACTGAATAAATTGAACCGTCACCCTTTGCATCTCTTGTTTTGCTTCCTGTCTAGCAGCCCTCCCATTCACCTACTCTTTGGACTTAGTGGGTCAGCTCCAACCTCTTCCTGTTCTGAGAGGCTGAGTCTACTCGTGCCTATTTTTGCTTCCTGCAAGCTTTGACTGTGTTCTAGCCTGCACTCAGCTACTGCCTTATCAGCCTGCCCTTCAAGGTCAGGAAGAGTCTGCAGCTGCCAGCTCTCCCCTGCGTAACATCTAAGCCTCTCTGTTCCTGGCTGCTTACTGCAGTTGGCTGCAAACTTTTGCTTGGAGCTGGTTCATTCCTGACACTGCCTGATGTGTTTTCATCCTGGTGGGCTAGCAAGGAAAGTTCAGAGGCAGGCACTCACTGCCTCAGGCCAAGGGAAAGATGCCTGTGAGGGTCACAGCTGTGGCTCTGTGGATCCTGGTGATGTGGAGATCTGGTCCAGGGTGCTCTGCCCACCAGCCTTGGGCTTAGTTGATCGCTGGTCAATCAACATCAGAGTCAGATAACCCTGTCTAGCTTCTTGGTAACTGGTAACTCTGTGGTCTCTGACTCTGTATTTTGATTGCTGCTTGGTTTTGGTGCCACAACGACAGAGGATATATGCATAGAGCTGCCCCTGACTATCACAATGAACAGAGAAGCTCTTGTGCATTGAAATTCTGTGTGCATATCAGAACATCTCCAGCATTCAAGGAGTCAGTGGATAGGAAGTGTGTTTAGTACGGGGTTGTTAAATTTAGAGATTACAGCTGTTCTAAGTGATGATACCATTGTGCTTGACAGATGGGGCTTCTTGAGCTGTATCAATGTTTCCTCTTCAAACTATTTCTCTATGTGATTCCCATTTCCCCTGCCCCTGGAGAAACAACCCATATTTGACCCACAAAAAAAGTAATCAGAATAATATGCTGCAATTAAGCAAATGTGTGCAGGCTTCATTTTTTTTCTGATGCAAATTTTCTGGTAATAGAAATGGCAGTTCTTTAGCACAGGGTACTAAACTCTGTGTGATAATAGTATATTGTGTCTGATTAAAAACAAGATGGGTAACTCTAAAAAGCCGAATCTGCTATTCAGCTCCTCGGGGGACTGTTAAAATAGATGGCTGCTCAGCTGGTCTAGCTTAGAGGTCAAAAGGAGGTACCATTTGTGGTTACCATTTCAGTTCTGAGTTACTCCTTTAACAGCTCTAGTACATTTTTTTTTTGTACAGCTAAGTGATATTGATCCCTCTCTTTCTTTTTCTTTCGATGATTCCTATTGGCAATCAAACTCTTCACCTATCGTGAGGATCAATAAGCTTTTAGTATATCTGCACAGCAATTCCAGGGACGTACCAGACACTGAGAGAGGACCCTTAGAAACCAAGACCAAGCAAGCAGGACCTGATTAATTAAAAGCCTGGTGAAAAGCAGAGATAGATCCTTCATTTATTTGTGAGTTCTGGACATATATTCCATTTGGGTTTGGGGGGTTTGTTTATTTTATACTCCACTTTTAAGCCAAGAAAGTGATGTAACAATGGAAACCATCATGAAGATCCATTCTAAAAATGGGCAGGTGACTAGAAATCACAGATCCAGTTTCATGGCTGCTGTAGATTTCTCCTTTGCAGTTTTTATTGCTCCTGCTGCAGCCGGCTTGGCTAATTTATTCTATGTATTTTTAATTGAAGCCAATTTCAGAACCTTCATGAAATATACAGTTAGTATTTTGATGACTGCAGAGGCCCATTCCTGTACCTTCTACACAATAAAAGGAAGTCTCTCCAAGTTTCCGGCAGGCCTCTGTTGGGACTTAGTTGTGTGGAGAACTTGGTGTGATCAATACCTGGAAATGAAGAGGTGAGAGGGTCTTAGATGTTAGGCCACAGCTCTCATCTCCCCATCTGCCTGCTAACAGCTGGTGGTTTCTATGGCATACATTCCTGATAATAAGAACTTTCCTCCAAAAAGCACGTCCACACAAAAATGAACCCGATAACACAGATAAAAAAATACTCACATCTGTTCACAATGGCTGTGTCAGACATTTGTTGGATATCTTCCAACTGATTATCTGGTCAGGAGGCCATGTTCGACCCTCAGAAAAAGAAGAAGAAATAAGAAGAGACTCTAGGGTCCTGGGGAGCCTGAATCATTTCCTGGTGGGAGATGTGGGGAGGAGAGGAACATTTTCAGCTAAAGACTCCGTAGGTGGTGAGTACCAGCTCTGAACATGAAGACATTGCATCTTTCTGCCTCCTCTGAAGTTATTTGCTCAAGTTACCTTTGGAGAAATTGAGGAAAAGGTTGTTTCATCTTCTTCTCAGCCTCTGTGTCATGGACATCATATTTTTTGCTATGCTGTTTGTAACAGTCAAGGTAAGGAACCAAAATACTGTGCATATCTGTGTGCATACTTAGTCTCAGGGGAATATAGAACAGGTATCCATTATTGTGGAAATCTGCTGATGACAAATCAATACTTTCCACTGGTTTCTAACATGGAGTTCACTTTTCCCCCATAGTTGCTGCACACTGATGTTTTCATCAAGCTACCTACCAAAATCCCTTTTTCTAGTCAACCACTGCTCCTCAGAAGCCATCAGTGTATCTGCAAAGGGAGGTTATTTTGCTCCAAGGCTTCTTGAGAAAAGCAGCCTTGCAGGTCAAAGGAAGACCACTGCAGGGCCTACTTTTGACCCAAAGGCTGAATGTTCCCCACCATTGGGTAAATGGAACAAGTTTTATTGTGGATCAGTAACTGGATAACAAATAGGGAGTAAAGAGAAGGAATCAATGAGCTTTTCTCACAATCGAGAGATGTAAAGAGTGGAATGTTCTCAAGATCTTTGTTAGACAGCATGCTTTTTGCCTTGTTAATAAAGTACCTGGGGTTCAGAATGAGCAGTGAGGGGACTAGGTTTGCTGACGCTGTCAAATTTATTCAGGGTGGTAAAAGCCAAAAAGGGATTGTGAGGCCTTCCAGAAGAATCTCTCCAGTTTGGGTGAAAGTGCAGTAAAAATGGCATTTGCGGTTCAAAAGAGCCTTTGCATGTACACTGATGGCTGCTATTATTTATTTATTTATTCACATTTACACATCAAACAAAAAAAGAAAACAAATATCCACACTGATGGCTTCTGAGGAGCAGTGGCTGACTAGAAAAAGAGATAGTAGTTGACAGCTTGATGAAAACATCAACTGCGTGTGCAGCAACTATGACAGCCTTTGGTGAGGGGCTTCATCAAAAGCTTTTGAAAGTATAACCACACAATGTCTTATTGGATCACACATACCAACATGTTTGTTGATACTTTCAAGGAACTCTAAAAAGTTAGTGAGACAGGATTTACCTTTCTGGAAGTCATTTTGATAATTCTTCAGGAAGGTCAGTTATTCCATATACACAATGACTTTATCTTCAGTAGTGCCTTAAACCAATCTACCTGAAAGTAACTTTAAGATAACTAGTCTGTAAATTCTTTCTTTCTTTTTTAAATGGCATTACATTGACTCGTTTCCTGCCCTCTGGTATTAAGGGTGATTTTAGGGACAAAGTTGCATATTTTTGTTAGACTATCAGCAATTAAACATCATGGTTCTGTAAGAACTCTCAGGTAGATACAATCTGGACCCAATGATTTTGTTAAGCTTCTGGCTGTTATGTGCAAATTAAAAATCACCTCTTATCACTGTTTGCCTCAGTTTTTCAGACTCCCTTCCTGTAAAGTCTGTTCAGGCATTGTTATCTGTCCTAGATCTTCTGCAAATAATTCATTCACCTTTTCTGCAATCTCCTTATCCTCCCTTAGTACAGCTTTAGCTTCCTCATCTTCTTATAGTCTAACTGCTTCCCTAACCATTTTTCTGATCCTGATGCATTTCTATATTTCTTTTTAGTTTGTCTTAACTTTTTTTAGTGATATGTCCCTCATATTATTTTCCTTCTCTCTTTTATCCCTTCTTGTTTGTTTGCATTAAAGGGACCCCTGACCATTAGACAGGGGTTGCGGCGCTCAGCTCGCTTTACTGGCCGAGGGAGCCGGCGTACAGCTTCCGGGTCATGTGGCCAGCATGACTAAGCCGCTTCTGGCGAACCAGAGCAGCGCACGGAAACGCCATTTACCTTCCCGCCGGAGCGGTACCTATTTATCTACTTGCACTGCGTTGCTTTCGAACTGCTAGGTTGGCAGGAGCAGGGACCGAGCAACGGGAGCTCGCCCCATCGCAGGGATTCAAACCACCGACCTTCTGATAGGCGAGTCTTAGGCTCTGTGGTTTAACCCACAACGCCACCTGCGTCCCATTTGTTTGCATTACTCCCCCCCCAAAAAAAGTTTGTGTTCATCTTTCCATTGATATATAATTTTATGGTATTACTTCCCAAAAAGTGGTGTCATGAGCCATCAAACCTCAGAAATACACTTTTCCCAAAAGGTTTCCACAATTTTGGCCATTTGTTTGTGTGTGTCTCTCTCTCTGCGTGTGTGTGTATTCTAGCTCAGCTTCTGTTTTTGCAGTTTTGACTACTACCTCCCTCACCCAAGCATTCTGGAGAGATTTCACCATTGTAATGTTCTCTTTCAATTTCCTTTTTATTAGTCCCTTCCTTTTTTGAGAATAAGCAGACCATATTTAAAAATGCTCACTTGCAATTGTTGGCTGCATGCATACTGCTCTGTACATACCTGGGAATACCTGCCGAACAGATGGTAAGTGAAGTCAGTTTTGACATCAGATCACCTCTTTGTGTGAAGGAGAAATCTGTATTCAGTCTCTCTAACACTTCTGGAAAAAAATGATTGACATCATGAAAGCTAAATGGACCTAATATCTGCTACAATGTGGATAACTTGATCAAATCCAGCAAGGTTCATCACATGCAGTTCTGCATGTGGTTTGTATGAATCATCAAGCAAGAGAAATTTTCTTCATTTTTCTTCCGCTGCACATACAGAAGTAAGGAGAACAATATCCATATTTCTATACTTTACAATTCTCTCTCTCCCCTCAAATCAGTGGGAGTTAAAGTTATTACCTGTTGTTGTTTTTTTTTTACATATATACTGGTATTTATATATTGGCCCTAGCCTATAGTATATACATATACTATAGATTTTTCAGTAAGCACAACTGGATCCTAGATACACAATACAGTATGAGTTGGGTTCAGCACAGGTGGTTATTTTTGTTTCCTTCTCAGGTTCTTATTGCTTGTCATATTGGAGGAGGAGGTAATGTTTTATAGGAGTATAAAAATGAAGCATTTTAGCCATAGGTGGTAAGTATCTGAGAGCAATATCTTCCCTGCAGCCTAGAAGCACTACATTAAGTTAGGCTTTATAAGTGGGAATGGTTTAACAGCTGTAGTTCTCAATACATACTTGGTTTGTGCTCTATAAAAGCTCAGATCTTTCTTTCGCGTTTGATTCTTGTTGATCCTAGTGGTGCGTAAAACAAGGAAAAACAAAGGCAGACAATCTTCATTTTGATCCCCAGGCTCTCATCTGAAGATAACCAGGGAAAAAATGAACCTCAGCAATGCCTCTATTAAGATATGGAAGTCATGATGAGAAAAACATTTACTGCAAAGTCATAAATGTGGAGAAAAAAAGTTCCTGTTCTTTTTTTTTTTAATGAAAATGTGTTGTGTATGTTTATTATCATTCTTGTTCATTAAATCTCTATACTACCCTTCATTTGAGGATCACAGAGTGGTTTACAATAGAAAAATAGAAAAATACATGACATAGTAACAAACTAAAACAATACTTTTCCCCAGTTTAAAAGGGCATAGATTGTCTAATTAGCCAAAGCCTGAGAGAAGATAAATGCTTTTTCCTGGCCCCTAATGATATGTAATGAAGGTGCCAGATGAGCTACCACAGAAAAAATCTACTCTTGTGTCGCAACCCGCCAGACACCTCATGGGAGAGGCACATGAAGAAGTGCCTCAGATGATGGTTGCAGGTTTGCATTGGTTCATATGGGGAGAGGCAGTCTGAGATACAGTCAAACCTTGGAAGTCGAACGGAATCCATTCCGGAAGTCTGTTTCACTTTCAAAAACGTTTAAAAACCAAATCACGGCTTCTGTTTGGCTGCAGGAAGCTTCTGCAGCCAAGTGGAAGCCGTGAAAGCCCCATCAAACGTTCGGGTTCCAAAAGAATGTTCACAAACGGGAACAATCACTTGTTCTGGTTTTGGTGTCTGGGAGCCAAAACGTCCGAGTTCCAGGGCGTTCAGGATCCAAGGTACGACTGTATTGTTGTCCAGAGCCATTTAAGGCTTTATGCATCAGAACCAGCACTTTGTATTGGACCCAGAAACTACTTGGCAGTCAGCGTAGTTGGGCCAGGTTGGCGTTATATGCTCAAACCATCTTGCCCCAGTGAACTACCTGGCTGCTGAATTTTGCACCAGCTGATGTTTCCAAACCATCTTCAGAGGCAGCTACACATATAGCACATTGCAGTAATCCAACCTATGGGTTGGGTATTGGACCCAAATGACGATGAAACCTCAAAAGTTTTTCAAGGCCCTGATGGCTGTTTTCACAACTGAGAGGCCTTCAGGAAAGTCTATCTCTTTGAGGTAGAGGACCTTCAAAGTAGTTGTGTCTGCCCTGTGGGACGCTCTCACAGCAAAAGTTAAGCAGATAAACAACTATATGACCTTTAGAAGACAACTGAAGGCAGCCCTGTACAGTCATCCCTTGGTTCTCAAACAGAATGCATTCAGGGAGTCCGTTTGACTCCTGGAACTGTTTGAAAACCAAGGCGCAGCTTCCAATTGCATCCTGCAGCCAATCAGAAGCTGTGCCATACATTTGGCTTCTGAAAATCGTTTGAAAACCGAAACACTCACTTCCAATTTTCGATCGTCCGGGAGCCAAAACATACAAGTTCCAAGGCGTTCAGCAACCAAGGTACGATTGTACAGGGAAGTTTTTAATGTTTGAGGTTTTATTGTGTTTTTAATATTTTGTTGGACAATCCAGTCAGATGGGCAGCATATAACAACAACAACAACAACAACAACAACAACAATAATTTACTCAGTTCCAAGGTGACAGTGTCACTGCAAGGACCCTAAACTACAGAGAGGTGACCAGCATTCTTCCATACCATAGTAATAATTTTTGTGCTACATGGTGTTTTGTAAGCCTTGCTGAAATGTACTATTTGCGAGTGTAATGATATTTGTCAGCTGTTCAGAGCATTTTGTAAGCCTCACAATTCTAATAATATTTTGTGGATTCTGTTGTAACTTCTTCTTACCAATATATTGTTCTTACAGTTATGTGCCCTTCATAAAATCTTGTGGTTTTTTCCTAGGTGTCACATAATCCCACCAAGCTTTGTTGTGTTACCTACGTTTCATTTCGCCACCATATTGTGTTTGATGCTCCTTCCTTTGCCCAGTTTTCCCCATTGTCACATATTTGTGATAGTTGTGTGTCGAGGTCCCCAGGGCCACCCCAATAACTCACACATCACACAGAATTTTGTTGTTGTTGTTGTTTAAGGTTTTTGGCATAATTTTGGCCACAACTTTATTAAAATACAAAAATGTGAGTGGTTGCTTAGGCATTGGTTGCGACTATCTGCCCCCACCATGGGGGACAGACTGACATTCCGCACGATGCGAAAGTCAGAAAAGGGCAATACACTTGGGGATAGCAACGGAGCGGGGAACCTGCCCTCAGCCCACCCCAAATGCAACCAGGAGCTCATTGCTATGGCCCGAGCCCCCTTGACAGAGTGGACAAGCAATAGTTAGCCCCCGATTCCTTTAACGGAATCCCTTGCAGCAGCAGCAGCATTAGAGGGGCAGGCACAGCCAATCCATGCCCCTCAACCAACCAAACCATAAACCAATGCCTAACCGCAACCTTACAAGTTGTGACAATTTGCTACGCAGTAGGCAAAACCCAAATGGCCCCAGCCAGTCAGCCAGATGGACAAAATTCCTACCGGGCCCCTGCCCCAAGAGCAGACAACCCCATGGCAGGCATAGCAAGGTCAAAGCGAACAACCCTAATTCTAGGGAGGGGGGGATGGGCAATCTGATGCACGGGTGAAAGAGGAAGCCCTAACCTCGTGCAAGGAGTTTTAGCATTTCTGGCTGTCAATCAACAAATGGCAACATTAACTTCTTCCCAACAACAAGGGAAGTCCAATCACAACAGTGGCCAATGATCAATTAGCCCACCCCACAACTTTGGAGTGTCCTGGCGGCCCCCACCACAACACGTACTCTCCATGAAGGAGAACACGCTATTCCATGATCTCACTTCAGATTATCATACATAGACAGAAATGAATAGGTGTCTTTGTATGTGGGAAGAGGGGCGTTTGTTTAAGAATTTAGAATTGTCTAAGAATTTAGAGAATGCCTGGAGAATAGTGATGCATCCGTAGCCATTCACTAAAGTCAGCAGATACTGTGTTGTCCAGGGTAACAAGTTTTAAATAAATTATTTGTGGATTATATGAATAAAACAAGTATAGTAGGCACAGTGGGAAATGTTTTTTCTCTGTGTGTTTAATCAGCTGGGAGAGATTCTTTTTTAAAAAAAGAAAAAAATGTAATCAAAAAGGAAGTTCATGTTCAATGGGTTCAACTGTTTCTCCTTTAAGAAATGCTTAATATCCTATTTCCATCTGTCCTTTTAAGAAGTTATTTTGATCCTCCACATTTGATGAGTGCTGCCGAAGAGCTGGCAGAATGGCACAGGAAGTGTCAAAATAAATATATACAGGGAAAAAAATTCTCACCGCCTTTTCCCAGTTTCTCATTTGCAAAGAAAATTCATTATTTTGTATCTGGGTCAGGCTAGTGCAATCCCAGAAACCCAGTAGCTTGTTCTCTCCCCTCTCTAACCATTTTAACACTTGCATAACAAGTAAAAGCCTGAGATGCGCATGGATGGACCCAACGTCTCGCTAGAGTTGTGATTTCGTTTGGGGCATTATCTAGAGAAAGAAGAAGGTAGTCTGAACACTGATGGGAAGAAAAACTCAGTGATGACTTAGACATATCGGGGTGAGCTGCAGGGGAAGAAAGAGGAGGCTATAGGAGGAATTCAATGCAATAAGGTGCTTGTTTCATCAGTGGAATTTGGGGTGACAACATGTGTGGAAAGGACTATTCTGTGGTAAGACCAGGGGTTTTTTCAGCCAGCACTCACCAGAACTAAAAAATAGCACTGGCTGGAACCCAGCTCCGAAATAATATCCCTTTAGAGGTGTGCCTGTCTTCTTCCACATTATCAAGTTTCACGTGCCAAGTGAAAACATTTTTATTTCCCATGTTTGATAAATAAGTGATAAATTCCTCATCAGTAATGCATTACTACTACTACTACTACTACTACTACTTCATATTCATATTGCCCAGGACAACCCAAAACAACTTATAACCAAAGAAACAAAGATCCTCACAAAGATGCAGTAAAACCCAAAGGACAGAGAAATACATTAAAAACAACCTACACACTTCTAAAAGGCCACAGATAGTTGAAGACCTAAGGCCTGGTTAGCTTGGGGGTCACATGACACAAACATTGCAAGTGTTTGCTTTAATTAAATGGCTACATTTTGTTTGTGTATAGCTCGTTGTTTTGTTGTTTTGTTGTTGCTATTTTGGTTATATAGCACCGCTTTTTTCGTCACTGAGGAAGGGGGAGTTGCAAACAAACATAATTAAATAAAGCAATACAGTGGTACCTTGGTTTGAGAACAGCTTAGTTTATCAACAACTTGGATTAAGAACGCTGCAAACCCAGAAGTAGGTGTTTTGGTTTGTGAACTTTGCCTTGGAAGCAGAACATGTTCCGCTTCCTGTTGAGTAATAACAACAACAACAACAATAATAATTTATTATTTATACCACGCCCATGTGGCTGGGTTTCCCCAGCCACTCTGGGCAGCTTCCAACAGAATATTAAAATACAATAGTCTATTAAACATTAAAAGCTTCTCTAAACAGGTCTGCCTTCAGATGTCTTCTAAAAGTCTGGTACTTGTTTTTCTCTTTGACATCTGTTTTTCTCTTTGACATGTGTAAATTGAGTCCCACGCTGCTATGGGGAAGCATGCCTTGGTTTAAGAACTCTTAGGTTTAAGAATGGACTTCGGAACGGATTAAGTTCGTAAACCAAGGTACCACTGTACATGCATTTTTTGTACATTATTTTTGGTTGCAAAAATTCAAATTCAAAGGATAGTGGTGTTTTGGTTTGTGTAGTGTTTCAGAAAGTGCAGTTTGGGAAGACTTGTGAATGAGACTAGATTACTTGCCCATCCCTCATCACAGAGTCTCTGTTGATGAATTTCTGCAACTTCTAAATGGGTTTTTCATCCATTCAGAATTCAAGCTCTGCTTCCCACGGTTGCTATCGTGAATCATCCAGGTCTTTTTCTTTAAATTACCTTTGAACACAGATAACAACGGCTGTAAGATACACAACCATTTCTGAATAGCTGGGTTGATATGCATCTACAAATATAATGCGCCATCCCTTCCATATAGTGTGCAGTTGCTGGTGCTTGCTAACTTGCTGTATGGAGGATCCATTTATTTCTTTATTTTTAGGGATGCTCTTTCAGTATCATTAAGGTCAGATGATCACATAGGTAGCAGTTGATACCAGGATGGATGTCCTATTTAAAAGTCTATCTCGTTTTCTCATTACCTGTGACACAGCAAACAAAAATATATTGCTATTTGGTCCTCACAGATAGCAGCAGTCATCCGGGGAAGAAAATCCTATCCACTAAGGAATACGCCAGGAACAAATTATAATGTGAATGCTGTGTGTTGACAGAACCTTTATTAGGTTTTGTTGAAGCAAGATTTTTTATTCATGGCCCTTTTCAGAATGCCCATTGGCCTTTTGTAATATAAGAACCATCATACATTATGTGGTTAGACCAGAAGGCTATCCAGTCCGGTATTATGTCTCCGAAAACCAATAAATGAAAAGATGTCAGCAGTATATGTATATACTGTGTATACAGTAACATGTGTAAAAAGGTAAAGGTAAAGGTACCCCTGCCCGTACGGGCCAGTCTTGCCAGACTCTAGGGTTGTGCGCTCATCTCACTCTATAGGCCGGGAGCCAGCGCTGTCCGCAGACACTTCTGGGTCACATGGCCAGCGTGACAAGCTGCAACTGGCGAGCCAGCGCAGCACACGGAATGCCGTTTACCTTCCCGCTGGTAAGCGATCCCTATTTATCTACTTGCACCCGGGGGTACTTTCGAACTGCTAGGTTGGCAGGCGCTGGGACCGAACGACGGGAGCGCACCCCGCTGCGGGGATTCGAACCGCCGACCATGCGATCGGCAAGTCCTAGGCGCTGAGGTTTTACCCACAGCGCCACCCGCGTCCCCACAGTAACAAGTGTATATGGTAACAAATCGTGACCTTCATCATGGAGGGCACGTGTTGCGGTGAGATCACCTAAACTGCCTCCCTGTTGTGGGGCGGGACCATTTGGATAGCCACAACACCCCATTGGTTGCCCCTCGGTTGCTGTTGCAGAAATTTGGCCTGTTGGGTCATCTATTTGCTAAAGGTACAGGGTAAAGGGACCCCTGACCACTAGGTCCAGTCGTGACCGACTCTGTGGTTGCGGCGCTCATCTCGCTTTATTGGCCGAGGGAGCCGGTGTACAGCTTCCGGGTCATGTGGCCAGCATGACTAAGCCGCTTCTGGCGAACCAGAGCAGCGCACGGAAACGCCGTTTGCCTTCCCGCCAAAGCGGTACCTATTTATCTACTTGCACTTTGATGTGCTTTCGAACTGCTAGGTTGGCAGGAGCAGGGACCGAGCAACGGGAGCTCACCCCGTCATGGGGATTCGAACTGCTGACCTTCTGATCAGCAAATCCTAGGCTTTGTAGTTTAACCCACAGCGCCACCCGCGTCCCTGTCTATTGGCTACCAAGGGGCTATTTAAGCTGCTGCATGTTGCTGGGAGCTTTCTCTTTCCTGCAACGTGCAACGGGCCACCCACACTCCCGTCCTATATTTAGGGCTCTTCTTGGGACTTGCTATGCCTGTCTGTGTCTATTGTGTCTCTATTTTGGGGGTGATTTTGGGGGTCTTCACAAGCAACATACTCCTGTTTCAATTAAACATTTGACTGAGAAAACCTTTCTAACCTTTTTTATGTGGGGCGTTTGAAGAGGTTCTCGGGAATCAGATGCACCACCCAATTTTATGCATGTTTACTTGGAGATATATCTCCAATGGGAATTACTTCCAAGCAAATAGGAACAGGCATCTGCTGCACAACTGCAATCCAATTCATACTAATTTGAGTGTAAGCCTGATTCATAGGTGATATATTCTTACGTTACCTGTATTTTTAAATAATGCACAGATTGATTTGTATAATTTGTTAGACATTGGAAAGTTCAATAGGAGTCATTCAAGTAGCCCCTTCTGACTAAAGCTGTTTAGACAATACAATTGTTTCAATTTTCTGCTTCCTTTGGATGGTGGGTTTTTCTTTGCCTCTACATTGGTACCTTGGTTGTCGAACTTAATCCGTTCTGGAAGTCCGTTTGACTCTCGGAACCATTTGAAAACCAAGGTGCGGCTTCCGATTGGCTGCAGGAGCTTCCCACACTCAATCGGAAGCCATGGTAGTTGGATGTTCAGCTTCCAAAAAACATTTGCAAACTTACTTCTGGATTTGCAGCGTTCGGGAGCCGATTTTATTCGGGAGCCAAGCCGTTTGACAACCAAGGTACTACTGTGCTATGGATTATGTTCTGCTTTTACACTGTGTTTGCAATGCTCATTTTATATTTATTTATTTTAGCTCAGAGAATGCTTTCATATCATAATGTGGTTCAGATACGGTAGTGTTGCCTCGTTGTTTTAAGGAGTATGCTTTTATAGTGAACAGGCAAAAAATAAATGGAAAGAAAAGATAACCTTTGAATGTTCCAAGTGAAAGTGTGTGAAACCCTCCTAGCACTTTCACCAAGTTAGGTAGGCCCCCGTGTCCCTGTTTGCTGGTTTAATTCCTTGCAGATCTTTGACATTACAGTGGTACCTCGGGTTACAAACACTTCGGGATACAGACTCCACTAACCCGGAAGTAGTACCTTGGGTTGAGAACTTTGCCCCAGGATGAGAACAGAAATCGTGAGCTGGTGACACGGCGGTGAAGAACTGTTTCAGGTTAAGAATGGACCCCCGGAACGAATTAAGGTACCACTGTAATAAAATTTTGGCCCTAAGTTCCCTTCCTGTCTTGCATGTTTATTCTGAGATGTGAGGGGGAAAGCCAGGGATGTCCACTTACCTATGTTTCTATGTATGAAGAAATAGATTCACAATGTGACTACCTATAATCACAAGAAAAGCCAAAATAAAATAAAAAAAATTCAGATATTGAATAATTTTCCATTGCCCAAGGTGCTTTTTGGTGATTTGCATGCCTTCTATATTGGCATTGATTTTCCATTCCTTCATGTTGTAAACATATTTCAGTACAAATTTCAGGCAATATGTTCTGTAATTAATTAAATTTGCCTCAGACCTTACTGTCTTCTCACTGAGGCTTCTACAGATTAAGTAATACATTTGTTAAGCAACTGTAAACAGTTAAGAGTCTGACTATATGTTTTTAGGAAAACACAGGATTCCAAACCCCATGTTCCCATAAGAGCACTACCAAGGGGGTGGGTGAATTTGCAGCGTTGAATCTCCAAGACAAAGTAGGGCTTAACTCAGGCTTCCTCAACCTCGGTCCTCCAGATGTTTTGAGACTACAATCCCCATCATCCCTGACCACTGGTCCTGCTAGCTAGGGATCATGGGAGTTGTAGGCCAAAAACATCTGGAGGGCCGAGGTTGAGGAAGCCTGGCTTAACTCTTCCCCTCCAGTCCCTGAAAATGCTCCTTTGTATTTTCCTTCCATCTCCCCTCTTGTTTTTAATGCAGCCAGTCTCCAGCTGGGAAATCCATTGCTGTGGATGTGAGGTGGGCACCTTCAGGGAAAACTCAGTAGCACCGGAAAAGTTAACGTTCTCTGCTGGTTATCCCCTGCAAATGCACCCTGTCCGTGTGTTTCCATTAACTGCAAGCATGCGGTTTATTTGTATATTATAAAATTGTTGGCTGACTTTTACATTGCTACCATCGGTTAGAAAATATATGCATCATAATAAGCAGTGGAACAATTACAGCAAGGACAACACAATGGCATTCAATAATACACAATGAAGAGCATTAAAGAAAATCAAAGTGTGGATGCAGATATAGCACATAATTTACCCCTTTGTGAGATCTTTTAAAATAAGAAATCTTTTAAAACAAGGCAGATTTGCTGCAATCCCATACACTCTTACCTGCATGCCCCTCGTTCCCCCATATCCTCCAGAAGATTGGGGAACTCCCAGGACAGAATTGGGAGCATTTGGTGAGAGGAAAGGAAGTCCCTTTGGGAAATAATTTTGGGAAATGATATACAATGAACAGACATGTTTAAAATAACATTTGTTAAAAGACCAGAAGCTTTTTCGTTAGGTATTTTAGGACAAGAGTTGCCGAAAGAAAAACAGACATTATTTATGTATGCCACAAAAGTGGGAAGAATTTTAATAGCACAAAACTGGAAGACTGGAGAAGTATCATCAAAAGAATTATGGCAAAGAAAGCTGATGAACTATGCAGAGTTAGCAAAGTTAACAAACAAACCGCGTGAAAAGGACAATAGTGATTTTGAAGAAGAATGGGAACTCTTTACAATATATTTGCAGAAACAAAACAAAAATGGACTCGTTGGCAGGATTTAAATAAACATTTACAATTTAATTTATAAAGAACAAGAAGTATAACAATATGATAACATAGCATTATATACAAACAGCAGAATGTATCATCTGATGTAATAAACCAGAAATGGAAGCTGAGGGAAGTCAACAGGGAGGGGGGAAATTGGAAAATGAATGTTTTGTAATGATTTTGGATATTTGTTATGAGAAAAGAAAATCAATAAAAACTTTTTTTAAAAACGGAAGTCCCTTTGTGCAAGTACAGGTCTTGAATGCATCTAATGTGGAAGAATTAAATGTAGTATTTAAAACATGAAGATGCAAAGGGAAGCTTCCCCAAAACTGACATCTAGAAGTCCAGTTTTGTGGGAAAGAAAAGTAATCTCAAATGGGAAGAAGACGGTTAAATTCCACCTCTCTTTCTTCATATGTATGCACATCGTTGCTTATAAGATCAGGATTTGAAATACGTTGTTCCAAATCTTTCAAGATCAATATAATAAACCTCTACACAGCCCACTAAATGTAATAGTTTTCTCTTGCCATTGTTTCCTATTATTGCACATCTCTGATAAATTGTTTGTAGTATGCTTGTGAATTCTTCCATTTGCAAAGGTAGGCCTGGAAACTTTAATACCGTTCCATTTTTCTTTAGAATTGAGTTATCTGGCTTTTTAAACAAAAAACAAAAACCTGATAACAAATGTACTCCTACTTATCATCCATTATCCTGCCCTTTATATATGTTAGACCTGATATTAAAACAGTTGCTATGTGAACTGCACAACAATAATAAATACCCTATTATTCATTTCCAAACTTTAAATAGCTCCCATTAAAGAAAACCCTTTAAATGGAGACAAAACATCAAACTGTTGAACAGTGCATTGTGATCCTTTGTAAAAACAAAGCCAGCTGCATCATTGTTCAGCTAGAAGGGCAATCGGATGACAGTGAGAACAGGTTCACGCTTGGTCTTCTTAATGAGGGATCATAGAGACAGAAGCCTCTCTGTGTACCTGTAGTGGTCACTGCTTCTGACAACACCACTGCTCATACCTTGAAAATCCTCATTCCACCCCTGACTTTGGCGGGATCTACAATGACCTGTTTAATGTTATTTCCTCTATTGGAACGATATTAGATAAGTTGTTCCAGAACGTCACAGGGCATACTTGTTAACGAAAATGTTTTTTACCTTGGTTTCCCCCGCCAAATGTAAGTAATACCTGGCCACACCAGGGGGGTGGGGTGGAGTTTGAATGCAGTAAAAAAAAGGTAAAATGCTACATAGGGACATATGAGCAATGTTTCAATGATATGGGAGCATCAAATGATTAAAAAATAAGTGATGATGAGCCCTCACACTTTACCGGGATATTCCCAGGGGAATTGAAGGAAGCAGTGGTGCGCCCGCTCTTA